TCTGCTTGATTTTTTTTTTTTTTTCCTAGAGAAGTTATAAATTATATTCTGCTGTCTGAACGCGTCTCAACCAGGACGGTCGAGTCTCACTTGCGTGAGAAAACTTCGTGGCTAATCGGTTCGTGTAAGAATATCGACTGCTGCCGCGGGATTCGTTAACTACCGCCGCCGACCGACGCGCTTTACTCCACGAAATGCGCAAACGCTGGGATAAAGGCACACTCTGGAAAACAGGACTGATTTCTCTTCAACAAACTACCCAACCCTTTTCCCTTCTTTCTTCCCACCCATCATTCTTATCCATTCTCAACTCTTCCTTGTTCTCGATATCTCTTCACTTATTACCGTTTCTTTTTTCTTCTTCTTCTTCTTCTTCTTCCTCTTGTAACATTCTGCTTTATTTCTTTCATTTCGTTCATTTTTTTTCTCTCTCTCTTTCTTTGCATCTCACTTTCATCACACATTGTCTTCTAACGAGTGCTCTTTCTCCTACCGTTTTTAACATGAAAAGGTTCTTTGTCGACTTCGACTGACTTCTACTGACTTTTTGAAATATCTTTCTTTTTTTTTTTTTTTTTTTTTACAGGGGATGTCGCAGCTATAGTCGCGGTATAATTGGCAAGGGTATGTTTTAAAATGGAGAAATAAATTGAAAATATAGTTTAAAATTTCTTCATACGTTCACTTGGTGATTAACCAAGATCTAGTATACTTGACAAATTTTCCAAATTCAATTTTCTCAAGAATAAAGCACCATCTTTGACTTTGATTGCTATATATTTATCCTATAGCTAATTCTTAAATGGAGTGATCACACGCACTTAAGATGTGAACGAGAAAGTATGTGAATTATTCTTAAACTTGATCATTATAGAAAATGCGATCAAATTCATTAGTAAATTACGCTTGGCTCGCCGTTTGTAGTATTGCAACAAAATACGTAATAATATGTAATACTAACATTTTCCAACTGATGATATTTCATGAAATATATAAAATATTCGTTCAAGTTTTATCACAAATTATCAATATATATCAATTATTCAATTTTATATCGAAAGATGTGATCATCGTCTCCAATATTTAATATTAAATATACTGTTCAATAAAATGTGTAATTTTGCAGATTAATATTACAAGTCAATTATAATAAATATTAATATGCACGTAGTAATTCGAATACAAATTAAATTTCATATTGGCATAAATTTTAGATCTATATACTATTTGTATGTATTTTAATATATATATATATATATATAATTAAATTAAATTAAATTATATTCTTATTAAAATTTGGCAACATGTTAATATTAATATTAAACAGATTAGTTTAAGCAAAAATTACTATAATTATATTTTAATTTAAAATGTTATTTATTGCACTCTAAAAATTTTAATTTCATATATTTGATAATGTATTTTTGAGTATTCTTTTCAATAAAAGTAATAAAATTAAAATTTATTGAAACAAAAAATATTGTCTATCATGAATATTTGTATAATTAATATATACTCTTGTTTGAAAAAGTGCTATATATATATATATAATATATTTTGTCCAAACATAAAAAGTAAATTTCTAATATAATCTATAACTTTATTAAAATAATAAGATTATATTATATTTTAATTCACAGTAAAAAAGAAATGTTGTTATATTAAACAATTATTTTGTGCTATTTATACACTAACTATATATATACACACACACATATATTTTTTCCAACATACAATTAAAAGAAATACTTACCATGTATAGTTATTTCAGTATCCTTCTCCACCTTATACAGACGCAATGCTTCATCTAGTTCATGCTGAGTAGCAATCCTGCATGGATCTCCTTCATCATCAATCCATTTCATTGTAAACTGAGTTGGTCCTGTTGCACCAAATCCACATATTGTCCGCATTTCTTCTCGCAATGTATTTACTGAAATGCCCGGAGTGATATACGTAATCTGTACTTCCCTAATACAAACATAAGTCATTATAATTATTTTTTCTTTAAAAATTTCAAATTTAATAATTTTAAATGTATAGATTAATAATTACTTCAATTATGAACTTAATATTTTATAGTATATTTTTATTGTAATGAAAATATTATATATATAATATATAATATTATTGAAACAAAATATTTGACACCACTTTACACTTATAACTGAAAAATAATTTATATAAATTTATATATTCTTACATATAAAGTTTATATTAAAAATATATATAGTAAATGCATTATGCACTTTAACCTTGGTTACTCCATCACGTGTTGTTATACATACAAAATATTTTATCAATTAATTTAGCAACTTAGATAATAATAACAATACTAATAATACTTTCACAAAGTTAAGACCATATCAACTATAAGACTAAAATATATGCAATTAAACTGAATTGCTTTATTATTCAAAGTTACTTATATCAAATTTAATAGCATTCGACTTATAATGGCCTAATTTCATAGTTTCAATTTATATAATAAAACACTATTAATTAACTAAGTAATAAGAGCATGTAAATATATCTGTGTTTCCTTCAATGTTCTATATTTTATGAACTTGTTAAGTCATGATTCCAAATAAATCATTTATATTACCCATTGTAAATAATTTTCACTCGAATATCATCACTATCTGTTGTCTGCGTAGGCATTTTTATTTAATATGGAAAACTCTTCTCTTTGCTGAAAAAAGATTACATTATTAAATAATAAATTCCTTAAAAATAATATTTTGAACATACCAAATGTATCATCAACAGGGCAATATTAACAGAAATAAATCAATTATGCAATAATAAATATCACGATAGATGCTTGCATATAACTATACAATATTATGTATTTCTTTTTAAATTATTTTTTCCCAAACTAGTAACAATTGCACATTTGTAACTTGTACAATTTTCATATTTAAAAGAAAATGTAACTATATTTTTAAGCCAGCTATTGCGACAATTTATTATGACATAAATTCACCAAACATTTATCAAAATGAGAGCAACGTGATTACAAACCTAACTACTACTAGAAATTTACTAAAAAGTTTTCTCTATGTTTCTTCTTAAACATGCCAAAGAATAATTAAAATAATTGGAACTTACTAAAGTGTTTAACGTCCACTATAATACATAGAAACTAGTTCAACTGAACTAATTTTAATGTTTTTAATACAATGCGATGATTTTCTTCGAGAAACGATTGAATTGCTATGTCAGACGGAATATCACGAAATATTCGGAAAAAAAAATAAAACAATTATCTTGCTTTGCGAATTATTTGCTAGAAATAATCATGTAACAAACACAAAATTGAAAAGCATTTAATACAGTAAAACGCGTTGTCACTTGGCAGCCGCCATGTTTATTAGACACACATCTTCATAAAGAATAAGGAGATCCCTATTTTCCCTATATAGAACGTATTGCATTTACTAAAGATTTTGTTCATATCAACAATCAATGATCAATTAAAATTAATTGGATTATTTCGTAATAATTAATTGATCGTAACTATTACGAGAATTATTCGCTTTATTCAAAAATTATGACTTTGGAATGATATTTGTAATGATATTCTTTCAAACTATATACAAAAAACATACGCGTACATATAATCTATTTAAATATTACTTCTATTTTTTGATAATATGATATACTACAAGCTATTATTTAATTTCATATGTATCCTATATATGCAATAGAAATTATACAACTTGTAGAAATATTTAAATGTATTATTTATAATTGTAATTTATAATTATAATGGATTTCTTTTTGATTTGTATTACCTGTTAATGCGGCAGATTAAACATTCTTGCAATTTATAATTTATATCATATTTATATTAATCTTGAATACGAAAGATAATTATAAAAAATTTGAGGCGTGGTAAATTCCTGCAACTATCTTCAGTGATTATAAAGGCACGAAATTATTGAACAATTTCTCAGCAATTTTTAATAATCGCTGCTTTACCTAGGAAAAGATTTATATTGTTATTTACATATTATTTATAATTTCTTAAATATATGCTTCTATTTTACTTATTTTTATTTCCTATATGTAGTTGTTTCATAATGAACGTTGGTACGAATTAAACGTAAAAATCACTAGGTTTTCAAAGTTTGCTAGTAATTTGTAAATACTAAGTCAAACGTCTTTGTAACATAAGATAAATAATTGGAATTTCGTCCATTATTGCATTAAATAATAGTGAATAACATAAAAATAAAATATTTTTTTATCTCCATGAAGTTGACGTAAAATCAGTGGTTTAAAAGTCAGTTTTATTTACCAATATATTATTATTTTAACCATTGCTATTTTGAGGTTATATTACATGGAAGATTAGAATAAAATTTGTCAAAACATCATTACGTGAGATTAAAGTAAGTAAAAATTTATTCATAAAATATGTTAAAATATATTATAAAACAATTTAATTTTCAAATTTCAGTTACAAAATGAAGAGATCACATTCTAAGCGAGAAAGAGATGAATACGAAAATTATAGACACTCAAAGGATTTCGATCGGGATCGAGATCGAGATCGAGATAAAAATCGCGAACGCAATCG